ATATTCGTCTGTTCGTAAGGACCATAGCAACACTAAACAATATTTTAAACAGGAGAATTTTTATCATATTAAATTTCAATATTCATTATATATTAATTTGGTATAATATTCGTCTGTTCGTAAAATCATAGTAACACTAGAAAAATTGTTAAAGAGGAAAATTTTATCATTTTGGTTCTGTGACTATCGTGTTTCTTACGTTTCTTTTAACATGTTCAATACTTCGAGACCAAATTTTTCCCGAAGTAAAATAAATAGTAATCAATTAACGATCAGCTGTTCAAAAAGTATTTTTATCTCTCGATTGTTAAATAATACGAAGATTCACATTTTCTCACCGATTGGTACGTTTAACCAGCCGCAGTATTTCTACAAATTCACCCGGCAGATGTTCACAATAAATAATCCAGTAACAGTCTCCAGAGACACTAGAAGACCACAGAACCGGGCAACTTAATAGCACTTAGAGAACTTGGTACCGTTCGCCATAGAAATTAATACCGCGGAACAGACCTTAATATCGATTGTCACAGACGTTACGAATCTTTGGAACAATTTAATGACAAATGCAAAACACGTGTTTTACGAGACACCCCTATGCTCTTACATTCCTCATGATCCTCACGGACCGACCAGCTGAGGCTTAACGTTTACACTTCCAAACAGCGATTCAACCGGGACGTTAATGGGTTTAATCACCTAATAGAACTCTCGGGGAATTATTAATTAATTTGTCGTTAATAACGAGAACGCACTCTGCTCTGTGGACAGGCTGCATCATCACGAAATGGGCCGAGCGTGTTTCACGTCGAGGCACTAATCCTAACATTAAGTTTTCACGACAAGACGCATGGGTAATCAGCTAATGATATGTGAGGACGTGCTTAATCGTTAATGAGAGGGTGCGTTTGGACGCCGGAGAAGCGTATACGGTCCTTGCGCTTACTCGCGGAATTCCTAGCGAAGGCACGCGGCCACACGAAAGTATCCAGACACTCGTTCACCCTTTCAGGGATTTAGTTCAACGTATCGACATACTAGAATTAACGACTTGCAACGTGTGCTTGGGTATAAAGTGCATTGTTGATGCTGATCACATCACGATATGAATAATATCGACTCCAAATTTTTGATTAAAAATTCTGTACTCTTTGGGCATTTGACGTTTCGAATTTTTCAATATTCCATTCTTTTCTAAGTCCCTTCCCCTAAATATTTACATGTACAGGTTCTTTCGCTGATCTTTACCAGTGATAAATTTAGTGTTATCACTTTGGTTAGGTGACTTTTCGATATTTCTTTTGATATATGTATTATGAATTTTTTAATCTTTTATATTATTCCATTTTTAAAAGAATTATTATATCTTTATTTTTCCATGTACAGGTCTTTTGACTGATTGTGGTAAATTTAGCGTTATGATTATGGTTAGTTGATTTTTCGATGTTCCTTTTGATATACGTATTATAAATTTCTCAATATTCCATTTTTCTCTAAATTCTTTTCCATAAGTATTTCCATGAATAGGTCTTTTGACTGGTCGTGGTGAATTTAGTATTATCATTTTGGTTATTTGATGTTTTGATGTTCCTTTTGATATACGTATTATGAATTTTTCAATGTTTTCTATTATTTCATTTCTGTTTTAAATTCTTCAACATTTATTTTTCCATTTATAGGTCTATTGACCGGTTATGGTAAATTTAATGCCATTACTTTGGATAAATGATTTATCGATGTCTCTTTTGATATACGTATTATCAATTTTTCAATTTTTTCTATTATTCCATTTTATTTTTAAATTCTTCTATCTTCATTTTCTCACCTACAGGTCTATCGACCGGTCATAATAGGTTCAGTGTTACACGTTGATTAAACGATAAAATGAAAATAAACAGGGACGAAAAATTACAATGCCATTGTAATAAATATCAATATTTTCAGTAATTACCGACACCCAAAGTCTAAAACCGTATCCACTGTTAATAATAATCAACGCGCGAGGATAAAAGCTGCAGCTTACGGCCCTGGTAAAAGGAGAACTCTGTAATCTCGTCTTAATTGATAATTGAATATTTTATTTAATTAAAATATAATCTTAATTGATGATTTAATTAACAAGCGAGACGAAGCATGCCTTAATTGCAGCACCTTGCATTTCTCTGTCTCAGAATCACGTTGAAATTGCTGGCCGTAAATGCGTTAATCATAAAATTACAGACGAACGAATCTGGCCTCGTAAGACGATCTCACCCCTCGCGATCGCGTGCAACAGATCATCCCCGTAACACAGAATATCGCAACACGATTAATTTCTGGAAACTAAAACGCGAAATTGGCGCAGGTAATTGTCAAACGTCGTGGAACTGTTTCGTTGTTCAAAAAGTTCCCTATCTTCTGGCCTGTTTAATTTCCGGACTCGTGAGTCGGATATGGAAGGATCTACCGAACCAGTGGTTCTCAACCTCCCAAAGACTATACGTGACCAAATCACGTACCACTTTATACGTAGTGTCTATTCGTTGTGGCACACGCCGCTGTATATAACTTAAAAATTTAATACAACCTGGTCTAGCTCACGTACCACCTGAATGTATCCAAGGTACCGTAGACCTTACTATCCTAGCACCATAGATCAAGGTACTTAGCATAAACTGGACATCGCTGGTCGAAATTGATGAAGAAGAATAGCGACATTATGATTCCAGCAGTGATATTCAACACTCGTGTCTAAGTGCCCAGTGACTTAGAGCCAAGACTCTAAGATAGGTAATCCGAATTCAAAGTCTGAGTTAAAGATAATTCCACGATAGTTTGTCAGATAGATCTAAATAGACTAACTCAAAATCGATCAGGATTTCTACGATCATACTGTTCCAATTCTCATTTATAGTCTGTTGATTTCGCAAGAAGATCGTCATTAATTCTGGTACAATGCGCTCGAGAAGAGATGGCACAGTATGCTTACATCCTCATGGCTGACTAACTTTGCTAATACTTCCTCGATCACAGGCAATGAACAGTATTTGAAACGAAAACGATGACGAAGATCATTGGCAGACGGTAGCGAGACTGAGTGAGATAGGGCATGACAGCATTGGCATAGCGTTTGAAGTTATTAAAAAACAGAAAACTAACGCCGATGTTGTCATATCTTATCTTACTAGGTCTCACTACGGTCTGCCAATGATCTTCGTCACTTTTCAGCGATGTGATCACTGCCTGTGATCAAGAAATTGTCAACGGAGTAAGTCAGCAGTGAGGATGTAAACACGTTGTGCCATCTTTTCTTAAACGCATAATAGGATTCTTAGCCAACTGATAAAAGTCGATTCGAGTGTCTGGATGACCTGAGTGGTGCAGCGTGCGTAGATTTCGTGTCACCAGAAAGGCTACGAATCACTCGTGACAGAGGTTCCTTTCGATAAGAGAGAGGTCTGATAGGGGGGTTAGACGTAGTCAGATCTTTAGGTCCCAAGTTAGGTATGAAACAGGCACCAGTATAGTTACAGCTAGACTCGCGTAGAATTTAAGTTAGGCTAGGTTAGGTTTCAGTTAGGCATCTGTTAGATCTAAGTTAGGCTTTAGTTAGGTCTCCTCGGAATTGTTCCTTAGGCCTGATCTAGGCTTGAGCTTCGTTTCGCGGGATACCCTGTGTTTCTGTGATCTGGTTCCTCGGATGAAGGACGCCTGTATGGACGGCGTCCTGGATTCGTTTACAACATCCGATACTTGTCGCTAGTAGCGACCACGCCAGATCATGTTCGTCGATAGAGAGAGAAAAAAAAGAAAAAAAAAAGAATTGTTTCCGTGGAGTTGAAATTTAATCAACGAGTGACATGGTAGCTTTAATAGTGACAGATTGAGGCCCACTATCGAAGCCTGCGACGATAGAGCCGATATCATTTGGTAGAAAATATGGTCGTACTACTTCTTTGTTTCTCTCTCTCTCTCTCTCTCTCTCTCTCTCTCTCTCTTGCGCACTCTATCTCTCGTTCTCTCGTTCTCTCTCTTTCTCGTTTTAAACAAAATACCAGATCCTTTCTCTCTCTCTCTTTCTCTCACACGCACTCTTTCTCTCTGTTCGCGCTTTATTCTCTGCTTTTTTTCTCTTTTTTAGTGTGTGCACGCGCTGTCACACGGTGATTAAACGCTCGATGCTCTAGCTACGAAAAGATCTCTAACGATAGAATCAACTCTCGCTATATATGATATATTTATATAGGTGATATGTACCAAATGGAAGATTCATGTTTCAGCGTGCCGTTTGCCGCGAGACGAGCACGAGTCCTCCCACTCCGATCGTTAAGCTCGTTCGAGAACCTTTTTTTTTTTTTGCAAGGGTTTTTGACAGCGGAAGTTTCGAAGCACGGAAGCATCGAAAAGCTATCTTTGAAGCCCGTCAGCTTGCGTTTTTAAATCTCTTCGTACCACTTTTCAAACTCTTACAGCGGTAGATGCATGTTCCGAAGTGAGGTTAAAATTAGGTTAGGTGTAGCTATCTTTACCAATTGCGTACGTTTCTTTCCTTGATTATACGATACTTCGTTATTACGATACGATTATCTTTGAGGGATAGCCGAATATTTTCGAATAATATTTTATTCCGCTGTCAGTGGCGTTCAGTCATGGAAAAATGATCATCTAGGCTCGCTGCGGCTCGTCTCGCGCGAAACGATCGCGGCGCGCTCTCGCGGCTGTTGTATTGCGATTCGGAAATCATCGGATGGCCTCTTAAAACGGTATATATATATATTAGTTTTATATATATATATATATATCTTAATCGATCGCTGTGTCTAGAATGTCGCTGTGTGGACACCTACATCACGGAGCAAAAATTACACGGGTGCCTTAAAATTGTCTTACGTCTACTTGCTCGACGGCACACGTAATTAGATATACAGCTGCATGTATATTTATATTTATATACATATATAGATCCTATACACGTACATATATATGTATAGATCCATATGTGTGTATACATATATATATATGTAATATGTATATGTATATTTACATTGCTTAATAATACATTTCTTAAGTTTCTATTTTGTTTTGTAACGTGTGTACGAGATTAATTCACAAGGTGCCATTCTTTTCGTGTATACGTATAACTCTCTCCGCGCATGCGCGTGCGCGAATGTGTATGTGTGTGTGTGTGTGTGTATATGTGTATGGGTCTGTATGTATTCTTTTTTTTTTGTTCTTTTCTCTTCGTAATATCTGGCAGCCGTGCGACGAAGCTGAGAAATCGCTCCTTTTTCCCTTTCGCTCCCTGTGTTAACTCCTGTTCTCCCATGCTTCAGGGGTGCACGAACCCTTTTTGCTTTTTCCCCTGCTTTTTTATCCCAGCACGGAAAACGGAAGAAAAAGGTCCGGGAAAACGAAACGAAATTATTTGTTCGTGTGCTCGTGTTTTTTCTTCGTTGCGTTCCTTCCGGTTGCACGTTGGGAGGATCGATAAAAAGTCTGTTCGAAGATGGAGAAGTGTACGGTAGTTGAGAATTGACTCGAATAAAGAAGCTTTATTATTTTTCCTCTGTTCTTTTTCTTGTTTTTTTTCCTTTTTTCGACTTATTTTTAATTTACTTTTTCTTACTTAAAATTCCTTCCTCTTTCTCCTCTTTAATGAATGCTGCCATTTCAGCGGTGCACCCTTGACATTCGCTCCGGCTCTCGAGAGTCGCTCGAGTTTGACCTGGACTCCTCTCTCCCAATGGATAGTAAGATCCCTTTTCTCTCTTCCCCTCTCTCTCTGCTTACAAACGACAGATTATTTCCTGACTGCTAATGTTTTTCGTGTTACTCATTACTCTTGTTTTTTATTTTCATTTTTTTCTTTTTTTGTTCTTTTGAATATTTTCTAGCAATTTAATTTATCTACGGTTACTTCGCTGACTGGTATTGTCATGTTAGCTGTGCCCATCTTGAAAGTCCAGATCAAAGGTGTATAATGATATTTTCTTCGTGGTCCGTGCTTTCCGAATTTTCATCCCCCAGTGGATCCTTTCGCGGATTAACCTGTAGAACCGACGACACTTTCACGGCAATCCAATGGATACTGTTTCACAGGATGGAAAATAATTTGCGAGAGGGTATAGGACTACGGAGTATCGGGTGTAGAGTTTCGAGCAGAGATTTCCGAGATGTCTCGTCCTGTTTCCAAAATGCAGATGCTCTCCATTCCCCTCGCTAGGGAAGATTCGGGTCGCGTTGTCAGACGTTTTCGTCAACCTCGAGGCGACAATAATTTCGACATCGATAGAAAAAAGTGGTGCAGAGCTTGATGAGAAATGATTGTTCGTGTAAAAGACCCACCCTTTAGGCCGTGGAGTTGTTCTTCTTTGTTTAGTAAAGATTTATTGTCGATCGAAAGACGCTCGTCGTTGAAATCGTTCATTTGTTTGCATCCGGAAATGTCCTGGCGGTTCGTTTTTCCGTCTTGGAGCTCTTTCAGAGCTTCGGTCGAAGTGCTGATGCGAAATCATGGGAGCTTCCAACAACGCGACATAGACTATGGCGTGCATAGAGAGCGGACACGCCGCTGGTTCCCATTCCGACCGCGAGATGGCGCTGGTGTCTAAGTCTTACGAATCACTCCGAAGCATCGTGTCATCCGAATCGATTAACTTTCACTTCCAATTTCTCCAGAATAGACCCAATAAACAGCAAACAGACCCGTATGTTTAGATTTCCATCGTATTTTCCAGATTAAGCCGACCAGGTGTCCAAAAGAGCCAAGAAATCGCGACTCGATTCGGTTCAACGGGTACACGGATCGTGGAAAATCCCGAGGCATTCGAATAGGCGCGTATTCATGGTCCGATGTGAAAGAGAGGCGACTTCCGGCGAGTGCTGGAATGCGTCAGCGAGACAGGGAATTTATTTATAACGATCCCGAAGCTCGAAAGGCTGGCAGAAAGAGGCAAGTTTGTCCAATTTCGCGGAGCGGACAAGCGGAGCGTGAATTCCTCGGGAACCTGACACGATCCTTCCCTCTTCTCCCCTTCTTCCTCGCTCCTCTCTCCGCTGCCCTGCCTTCTCCTTGGCCACTTGGTCGTTTTTCGTTTCGACGAGCAAGTGGCACTCCCGGTTCGAAGGTGTTCTCGAGCCACCATGAGGACACCAGTCTGCACTTAACCCGTTGAATTTTCGAGAACCCTCCTTGCTGAATCCTTAAGCCGGTTTTCAATGGTCGACCGATTTGGAGAATCCCGATTTAGAGACCTTCCACGGCTCGATCCGTGTACCGTTTGATCGTCCGCTCGGATCGAGTGTCTCATTAAGGATTTTAGCTTTTCCAGATTCGTTTGCGTTAGTCTCATGAGTGTCAGCCATGTCGGGGTCTCTGGAATATTCTAAACGGAGTTTACGTTGGAACAGTGCATCGTCTCTCGGGCTCTGTCGTAGATTGGATTGGTCTAACTAGGCAGCAGGAAACTACAATGGCTGATAATCTCTAGGTCTTTTTCGGCTTCACGATAATCTCGTCTTTGATCGATTTAGCTAAAGGATTCTACAGGGAGGGACTCTGTTTGCCGAACGCTCTTTGTCTCGACCTCCTGACCAAGAATTCCGCTCATCCCCGGAACTCCCGAACCTGGCACGTCGACTATTTGCAAAAATACTTCAAGGATCTCGGTCGGAATGATTTTCCTGTTTCGACACACTAAAGTTTCCAAAGGCAATTTTACTCGAAAACCCCTGTGCTAAGTCGTTCTCGTGCCGTAACTCATGCAAACTGTTTAAAAGGCAACAACAGGCGAAGAAAGTCAGCCGTTGTTTCTAGATCTGAAGTTCGTGATCGTCCAGAGGTGTTCGAATTCTGGCCGAAGATGAGGAAACGACGTGGTCGTGTTTCTGGAACCGATCCAAGCAACCCCTGATCCTCACGGTGGCTTCGTGGCGTTCTTATGTAAAACCGGAGCACTTGTTGCGTTTTACTAATGAAACTTTTGTGTCACGAGCCATCGATTGCACAAACAGGTGGTTAATAGCGGAACGGCGACTGTTTACGGGAACCCTGGAACACGTTTTTCCCTGTCACGGTATCGATCCGGCCGCGTCCCGGTATTATTTATGCAAATTAGATGTCCAGACATTATCATTTGAATCAGACCAGCTGAATTGCTAGCATCCAGGAGCATTTTTATTCAAATCCCAGTTGCCACCGTTATTTTCTGCCCGATCGATCCCTTCTCTCCTAGCTCCACTGATTCGGACCTAGGTCACCAAGATATTCTCGCGCCGCCAGCTTTCTTTCAGGTCTGTTTGCCTTAACTTCACGGGATTTCTCGTCCTCCCGTCCCGGGGAATCGATAGTCCAACCTTCTATCGAGTACCCAGTCCCCGCTGGAGACACTCGAGCGACGTGTAACTCGTTAGGCTGTCCTCGTTTTCCCGGCAACGGTTCATCAATCTTTCAGCCTTGCCCATTAAGTCGCCGCGATCGAGGCTCTTCGAGGCCTTAACGAATCTGCTTCGCGAACAGGCGGATCTTGCTAATAAACGGCAGGTGACAGACACAAGTCTGATCCCTCGTTGAATCCCTGTGTCGAAACTCCTTTCTAAATCTCTGTTGATTGGAATCCTCTTTTTCTTCCACTTTCTCTTCGTGTTTTTCTATGGGAGGGAGAAAAGTGGTCGTTCGACGGCGATGGGTAGCCGGGATCCATTGATCTACCCAAACGATTAACAGGGTGTTAACCACTAACGAGATCCTGGACCGTGAACGAAGCCCTAATACCCGTGCAACTGTTTGAACCCCGGATTGCCGGCTTTCAGAAGGCTCTCGATCGATAAACGGTCCCCCTTACTTTGCCTTTAAATGACTCTCGACAGCACCAGGATCGACGACAGCGCCGTGATCGCCAGGGAGTTGCCTAGATCCTCCGCACCAGCAGACACGCTCGAAGCTATCGCGCTGTTGCAGGCCTCTGGTGCTGGGTCTGGAACAGAAGGGGAGTGTAACGTCGACGGAATGCTGGGAAAGTAAGGTGATTTGCAATAGCTGGTTGGGCTGGATCCTACTCGTTAACGGAACTCTGTTAGACACGATGCTGGGAACGAAGGGAATTCGCGTGGTGCCCGATAAACATTCCACCGCTTCAGGGCTGGAGGTGCTGCTGACTATTATCGATGTATCGATAGTATACGCTATTAGGCCTGTGTTCCTAATTATGCACACGAGCCTATGAACTTGTATTCGGAATATAAATCTACCGAATAGCAGTGTTACCAGATCTGAAATCCCGACGCTGCTGTTTCACTCGATTGCATCGATCCTCCAGTAATTTCGGGTATTCGAATTCTACGAATTTTCGAGTAATAGGAAAAATAACGAGGAATTTGGAGAGGTGGGAAACTCGTGAAAGACAGAAGTATTTGTATCGACTCTAATTCTCTGCATCACACGAATACTATTCGAAAACTATTTTTAGAAAGTGATATAGCGTGCACATAAATTTGAAATTAGAATATAATTCAGCGATATGCGTAATATTCACAATGCACTTATTATAAACATGATATTAGTGAAATGCAATATTAATTAAAAAATAAAAAGTTCTAATATAATATCGACTTGTCTTCTGTTGCTCGTGATAGCCTTAAGACGATTTTCCCCAGAACTCACTAGCGCCACCACGACTCGTAATTCCAACAAACGTAGTGAAGATACCGTTTAATGGATTTCTACAGGAATATCTCTGCGACATTGATTTTAAGACGATTTATAATTTGAATTCCTGTCTTCGTTCCAACTAAATTACCATAATAAAGTTCATATCGACCAAAGAGCAAATATAGATCAATCAGGGCATCTATTTTCGTTGATAACAATTTCGAAACTTACGTTACAAGATTACATCGATAGTTTAAAATCTTGGAGAATGGTGGTGAGTACAAATACTTCTGTGACTCATTGAAGTTATAGCACATGGGTTGGCTGTTTCCAAGTTAGGCGAAAAATGGTCGAACTCCTTGGTTCTGGCTGGTACGTGATCCGAGAGGTTACCATTAACCTGAGAGGGTGGAAGATCGATCACGAGTTACTCACGCGATTCCACCTTACAGTCCCCTTTGAATACCCCCAGCAAGAGCTTCCTCGAACATCGAATTTTTATTAAAAGAAACGAAGTAATAGCTCCTTAGAGCCTAGTCAAGTGTCCCATTAATTAAGGCCCCTTGGAGATTGGTGGGTGCCCTCTACATCGCGATACCATCGGTTATTTCGTGACTTAACTGCAAAAGTTAAACAGACATTAAAGCCATCCCATGCTTTTTTGAATTACAACGGGAATTCACGGGATCCTATAGGGGAAACCGATCCGATAGATTCGGCATTGATCGATGGAGGCATTCCCACAGTGGATTTGTTATTTTGTGGTCGGACGACTGCCATTTGGCCGGTAGGCGAAGGAGAAAAGCCGGTTGTATTCAGTTTTCCGATATTAATCTGCGAATCGTGAGTGGTCCCAGTCCTCTGTGGTCGGGCCAATTCGCGTGGACCTATGGTTGGCTGGTTTTCAAAGGACCCGGTCGCGATAAGGAGGCTAAGTATGGCGATAGAATGAAAAAGGAGGCGATTTTAATTCCTCGATTTCTTGCTGCTCTCGAGTTCGGTGCTCGTGGACTGTCGGGTCTGTGTAGAACGTTCGTTAAAACAACGAGGTCGTGGGAGAGAAGCAATTTCGTCGGAGAACGCGAGCCAGAAAGGGGAATGGCGACACCGAATTCGATTCGACCAAATACCAGCTTTAATCCGGAACAATCTCGAGCAAACAAACGCTGGGAATTATGCCGGGGAATGCAAAACGGGAACACGCGTGGCTGGAGCGTCACGCAACAACAACAACTGGATAATTGTTGGAAACGTGGAAACATCGAAAATCTCGTGGATATCGATCGAGCCCTAAATTATTTATCATACTCCGGTCTCGTAGATAGGACGCTGATAGTTCCCAGACATAATAATCGCTGAGAGAGATTAATGCGTTAAGCAAACGGGGCATCGATCTTTCTGGTGACATCAGGGTGTTTCGTGGGGAAATAAAAAATAAACCCTGCCGTGGTGATCGAGGGAAGACAACGGTGTAAAGAGTATGATAACGCGATTCTATGAGCGTAATGTACTTGGTATTTTTCATGCAAAAGAGGCAAGAATAGCCGCATTATAACTAAGTCCTGCGAAGACGAGAGTGGCCTAGTCATTAGCACGTCTGACTTTGAAGACTGGGGGTCGTGAGTTCGATTCTTGGTGGACCCGGAAAAATTTTCATCCGCTTTTCTTCGAATTCTTCACAACGCAACAATTAATTCAAGAATTTTTCGAATGAAAAAAAAAATATTCAAAAGGCAGACATATATCGAATTTCAAAATTCAAAAGTTTTCTCGCGACCCTTCGTTCTCTGCTTTACGATCGAATTCTCCGGGTTCTTTGGATAAGTCGTTTGTGTGATGTTTTACAAGAATTTAATAATTATAGGGCAAAGGAAAAAATGATTAAGTGAAAAACGAGAGTTATACAACAGATTTTCAAATAGGGGGGGGAGGGTGTGTGGAAAAAGTTCAATATTATACAGATAATGGAAACCAGAGATATTAAATAGTTAATAGAGTATTCTAATATATGGGATTTTTAAAAAATCTAAAAATATGTAAAAAAATTCCTTTGTATGAAGAAAAAGTGAAATATTTGAAAGTTTCGAATTAAGCTTTCGGCACGAACCTGGTACTCCCTTCAACCTTGGTAGAAACTCGTTCCAGAAAGCACAGTAAGTGGTACGTGGTCCTTTACCAAGACCCGTCTTTTCCGCGTTGTAAATAAAATACTGCGGTTCGTCCCTCGAATATGGCGGCCATTCGGACTCGTAGTCTGTCGGTTTCCTGGAAAATAATTAACCCAGGTTAACAGGTAAGAAACGAGTAAAAGTAGATACTTATAAAATGTCACAGAGATTGGGTTGGGAGATCGGGATTGGATAGTATCGTGTTACTTCAGTTCAAAATCGATGCGAAACGGCCGGGCATCGATTATTTGCTACTTCAGAGCTGCTCTCGATACTTTATACCGAATACATAAACTCGAGTAACCGGACCGACGGAGTTATTTTTCGAATCTAACGAAATTACGCGAAACGTTTCGAGTTTCTTTATCGAAACTCGACTTCAACAAAGTCTTTAATGAAGATCCAGCTTCTGGTTGGCTTAAAATTCCGCACGACCTCCATTGGGAAGGCGAAGGAGGAGTTGGGGTAGCGCAACCACCCGACTGCGCGAATCTAACGCGGCGAAAATCCCTGGGACGACAGGTCGAGCTCGAAACAGCGGAACGAAACGATAAAACGATCGCTTGGTTAAACTTTTTAACGACTACGGGGGACAATGCGTTGAAAACGACGATTTATGCTCTTCTTTCGTATCAGCGCCGGATTAATTGGCGATGTGACGGGAAAATTGCCTCGCAGGTAATTAATTCAAATTCTGCACACCGGACCAAGGCGTCGCTGGTGTCGATAGTTAGCTGGGCTCATTTAAAATTAATAACAACCAACACCGGCTAATAAATTGGATGGCGCCGGTACTATGGCGAGGTGCTTTATTAATTATTGAAAGAGTACGCCTGTCTTTGGTACCACGTTCCCCGTATCAATCAAATATTTACGCGGCCATCTTCCGTTAATCAATTAGCCGTCGAAACAGATCGATCTTATTCCCGTCCATTGACATTCGAACAACAAAACCAATTATGTCGCTGATGTCAAAAGGCAGATCTGTCCAGGGTGTCCCAAAAATCGTGGCGTAAGTAGCCGACATAATGATTTTATACGCAAAAATAAGTCGAAGAAAAGGAACAATATTTTTTTAACAGCATTCAAAATACATTGTTGAGTGGAATATGTACACAGGTAACCCACGCGTACAAACGTCGCGTTATACAAAATAGCTTTAGACGAAATCTAATCTAATCTAAATTAAACCTCACAAAAGATAGGATTACGTTTTGTAAACACGATTTAAAAAAAAATAAATTATCCATTTAACTAAGAAAAAATATTTAGTCATGTGTACATTTAAAATGTGTAGTATTAAAAGTCGCAAGATTAAAAATTTTACATCACATTTTAATTTTCTGATACTACGAATTTGATGCATTGTTGTATATGTGTCGGTAATTACGAAAGTGATTTGTGTCAAAAGTTTAATAGAAACGAGTTTGTCGCTTGTTTTGTGTGACATTGATTTATACTGTGATGAAATAAAGATTAAATTAAAAAAAAGATTAAATTTTAAGCTTTATCGTAATTAATTTCTTTAATTTATAATGTATATGTGCTGCAAATATTTTGAAACGAAATATAGGTAATATATTTTGATTTACTTTAGTCGCGTATACATATAAAACGCGTAGTATTAAAAATCGCAAGATTAAAAATTGCACAATTGTGATAGAGGAATTTCAATTATCAATTCGTTTCTATAAAAGTAAATTCTACAGGAATTATCTAATGCAAATTGCATATTAAAATTCACAGTGACAAATTAATGTTGTTAATAACAAATTGTTCACAATGTAAATTTATAATAAAAATGAAAAAAAATTAATTAATAAATGATTATTACTTGATTATTACTCGAATTTTTCACATTCATATTAAAATGTATATATAATTTACAAAAAGTTTATAAATTATTGTTAGTAACAAATTAATATTGTTAATAACAAATTGTTCACAACGTAAACTTATAACAAAAGTAAAAAAGTTAATTAATTATTAGTTATTAAGCCGGAAAAATAATAATTAATGGAATCGATAAAGTTCGGAAATTTTCGATCGGGGTGGGGAGTTCGGCCGATCGGAGGTTATATAAGGCGCGACGCGACGCCGCACAACTTATTTGTCAGTTCGACTTCGGAAGTGACACGTCTAAATTTCTAAGTGCGCGGAAGGGGTGGGGGGTCCGAAATGAGGTTGGGACTATTTACCCCATCTACACCTCACCCCATTAAACAATTTACTAATAATTTTTTTTATTTTCAGTTATTAATTATTTTTTTCTTTCAGGATTTAATTTTTTCTTATTTTTTCAGGTATGAATTATTTTTTCGAATTTCAGCTTCTATTTCTTCAATTCTATTTATTTTTATTTGACAATTCGAATATTTCGTATAATATTCGAATGTCTCATCGTTGGTTTGTTTCTGTCTCATCGTTGGGTTGTTCATATCTAATTGTTGGGTAGTTCGTTCCATTTGGTTCATCTTTGTCGTTTATATTAGTTTTGTTTTTATTTATTATCCTGTTACTAATCCGTTTCCTTTCAGGTTTCTATATTTTTCTTTTCCAGATTTTTCAGATTTTCAAGACATCGTTGGCAGACGTGCAGTGCGTGCGTTTAGACCTAAATAGTTATAAGCAGTTATAAGATAGATCGCTAGTCTAAGTTTCATGTGCGCGCCATCTTTATAAAGGTAAACTACCTAAGTTGGAGCGAAATATATAAATTCGCTATCTTTGTACTCTTATCCCTCTTGTTTATCAAATGGAACATAATTGTTCTCGCGATAATCACGACTGTTCTTAAATACCAATTAGCCTACGCGAGGTGCTCTCGTGTACTCGATAACTGCATGTTTTGTAAGTCATCCAAATGACTCGTTCCGACACCAACCCTCGCCTTTGCAGATATTTTCGTGTTATATACATCAGTCGTCATTACCATTAGGTTAAATTACATAATTTTTTTCGAGAAGCAAAATTTGTTTTTATTCATTTTTCCCTGAGAAGTATGTAAATCATATATTCCACGATCAAATTAACGATAAATAAATATTTTTTTAAATTGCGACATGTGATCCTCTTTTTCTTGTAACCACGGATGTGCTGCTGGAGCAATCAGACAAGATATCTACATGAAATTTATCAAAATGTACTTCCAGACGGATAAAATCATCTTGACCTATTTTTGAAAATTTTGCAGCGACAAAATTACGTTTATAATATACACGAGATTAAATCATAGATCGGAATAGCATTGATAAGCTAATACGACTAAGATTCTCAGAAATTGCATAACTGTAATAATTTTGAAAATACGGAAATTTTCAAAAAAGTTTGAAAATTCGTCAGTATTAAAATAATATGAATTTACATAATATTTTATACATAAAAATTAATTTAAAATAATCTCGGAAATTGCATAAGATGTATTATATTAATTTTGAAAATTCGTCAGTACTGAAATAATAATAATTTGTATAATTTTTTATACACAAAAATAAATCTATTTCTTTGCAAACTCTTTTCTTAGAATTATTAGTACCAAGAAATGTAGTTCCTAGGACTAAAAACCAAAGTTTAGTGTAGTCTAGAGATAAGGGGTGAGGGTCAACGATATATGAAACCTTCTTCATAGAAAAGTTTAGGTTAGTCGCTAAAGGGAACTCGTGCAGTAAGAATATACCTTTCTAAAGAATAAACAATATAAAATTATATAGAAGACTTGTTCCTAATTGTTTAACCTATATTCTAATAGTATTAATAATAATAACAATAATAATAATAATAATAATTCGTGTAATAACTATGATTTTTGACTCATCGAAACATTCCATTTTTGTTCACGTTTGTACGGTTGTCTCAAAATTCTTGCAAGATTTGAATTTTGCGTCACTTGTACGGTGAAGTGTTGCCAATGAGAAAAAAAGACAGCCTGACAGCTGATAGTGCAGGATTATTAAAAATGAAGTGCTACGTGAAAAAGCAACGCGTCTTCATTGTTGAGCAATATTTACAATTTTTTATTAAAAACTTGTTTTTTCTATCAAAATTGTTTCTTACGTGAATTTCGGGACACTTGACATTTATAAACATAAGCAATATTATCTGGCTCCTTTCATTATTGTCATACTTTTTATGTCCATTTTTAAATCACAAGTCAAAAATACATATACATGATCCTTGCTTAAAAAAGAATTTTATTCCATAACACAACCATAATATAACCACAACATCGTCTAAATTCAATAAAATAAATATAAATTGAAATGAAAAGAGAGACCAAAATAAAAGTTACTTTTAAAGATTTGATAAAAAGGAACTATTCATAAAAATGTTGATTTTTGAGGAAAATTCTTAAAAAATAATTAAAAATTCTAATTTTCACCTGTTTTGATTAAGAGTAACCATTAAAAGTGATCACAATTCTCTTGGATTGCAAATATGCGCTGGTAACTGTTTTTGATTACGAATAACAATTATAGATGATGGAAAGTGGTTTTGGTTACGAATAATCATTATCATGTTCGTGGCTTCATTTTGATTGTTCATAATTAATATCGTTATTTTAGCAACATTTTACCTCGTTGCTTCTGTCAACTGTAAATTTTCATCGTCATTATGTCATTACGTATAATTGGTATACACGAGCAGTGTAAAATAAATGATAGAACTTGTTAAAAAATAAAAGGTGGGAATGTTTACGAAGAAAGAATGAAATAAAGAATAAAATCAGATATTAATAAAATAAAAATAAGATATACCACGTTTCCGTATTTTTATATTTTTATTAGATATTTATGATGTTCGAAATAAAATCCTGGTCACGATAATGATTATTGATTTTGCAATGATAATCCGTAACTGTTATTCGCAATCAAAAATGACCTCTATCATTTATTATAATCATTTGCAAATCAATTTTAGTCATATATAATAATCACTGATAATGGAACAAGCTTTTAATTATTTATAACGAATATTCCTGACTAAAATCATTTAAAACCAGATGCAATTATTATGTCATATCCCATTTTTGGTTATGATCTCCAAGTCTAAATTTGTAATTAACATACGAGTATATAGCTGACTTACTAACTCAAATTTCTAAAAAACGATGGTTTAAACGAAAAAATATTCTTCTTTTTCGACACATGTCCCCATAATTACGAAAGTGGTTTAAGTCCTATATTTCTTATTTCGAGATATTTAAAGTAACATAAACAAATAAATAAACAATAACATGGTTACCTAACAGACACTGTCACGACTTTTGAGACACCCTGTACAACGAAATAGGAACCGAAACTTGTGAAGAAAATTAATCAAGCGTTACTATCAAGTAACAGATCCCGATGAGTTGATAATCGTCGTATTCCCACCACCAAAGAGAAAAAAGAAAAAAAAAAATACACCTCTGTAACTTGATGGATGATAACCACTCAACGCGTGACATATCGGCCTCTTTGTTGCCCCGACGCCGATAAATAATTCTTCAGTTTCTGTTAACCCAGATTGAAAGGCCGGCCCGCGAAACGCATCGCGGTCTCGTTAATATTTGATCGCAGTCGTCAAACACAACGACACCACGGTTCCGGAATTAATTCACTGGCCGACTCCTCGTTCGGCCTCTTCGTCACTGCCCCACCCGTAAGAACCTTCGGAAATTATTAAACAGCCGCGGATATAGGACCCGTGGTCCTATTCTCCGTTGGAAGAAGAAATTCTAAAAAAGGACCCCGTCCTTTCCGGGATTCTGGTCCAGCAACCCCGTGTAAGGTAGCCAGGGACACGAAAGATCAAGCGTGCCAGGCATTTGTTGCTGCCTATTCTCCTTTCACCCTTCTCCAGGTCCGAGGAAATTCTTCAGCTCCTTATTCAGCCTGGCTGTGCCTCAAACGAGGCCAGACGTGAATACGAAATGCAATTTTAAGCAACCGCTACTGCGACGTGGTTTTAAATAACCAAGGGGAGGATCGACGCCTACCAGAGGCAACCGGATGAACTTTGGGAAAAATGTCGAGGCATAGAGACACGCTTTTCCCTGGTCCAACTGGAGATATCGAAACATCCAGTGGAAGCATCCAGCCTCGGACGAATGGCAAGAGAGAAATAAAGGGTGTGGTGGCATCATTCTGGCTCTCTCCAATAGATGGATTCCTAGTTGAAGGGTCGAGGGCTTTCTAGCAAGTCCTCGGTTAAAATTCACCGTTTCCTATATATACAATTTTCCAACATTCCAATAGTATCTCCGCCTAAGGCAGGCCTA